TATTTTTTACTTCGGTGCTTCCCATCTTAGATATAAGGATATTTTACAAAGTTTGTAAAAATAAAAAAAAAATGATTAATACTTGTAGGAGCCAAGCAAAGGGGCAAATGAACACTCACATGGAGAAACCCAGGTAAACTTGCACATTTCTCATGGTTGTGCTTTTGCTTGCTTACTTTTCTACTCAAGCTTGTCATTTTGCATATGGATTACATTAAGATTCTAAATTTAAGTAAATAAATGCTTCTTGCCATTGTATTACAATTTTTTTAGGGTGAGGAAAACGGTAGAGGTGAACATAGGGTGCATGGAGGTGGTGAACATAGGATGCCCTCACAACAAAATATTTGGGTAAATTTTGTATGACATTATTAATTTACTCATTTGCATTTTTCTCGTGCTTTTGCTTTTGTTTGCTTGCTTGCTTTTCTACTCAAGAGCTTTTGTCAAATTTTCATATACATCCCACATTGTCTACTAAATTTGGATAAACAAATATAACTTGATATTATATTACATTTTTTTAGGGTGACAAAAACAATGAAGACGATGAAGACATTTTGGTAAATTTTATATGACATTAATAATAACTTTAATTTTGTCTTCAATTCATTAGCTTATCTTATGTATTGCTTTCATGATAATTGCATGATGCAAATGAAACTGGAAATGGTGGATCATTGAACAATGCCAAATGCAAATTGTTGAATTGGGATGAAACAAAGGTAGTGGTGGCGGAAGGCACAATTGCATCAACAGATTCTAAAGCATTGGTACATCATGTGCCTCTTGGCCCTGGGTGTTGGAAAGTATGGCTTAACCATGTCATAGTCAATGCGCCATTGTTTCACCCTAATCGGGAGATGTTTGTGCTTGAGGATGCTATTGTAAGCACTGTTGCTTGGCCAACCCATTTCATTAGCTTTGACTTTGAGTAGAACTAACATCTATGAATAGTTTTTGAGGATTTTGATGAATAGATTTCTATAATTTTTGAATAGTTTTGGATAATGTTTACAAACTTATATATGTAGAGTTTTGGATGGTTTATAACTTTTTGGATAATTTAGAACTTATAGATAGTACTTTTGGATGTTTTTGAACTTGCAGTTAGGTTTTGGATGTTTGGAATGTATTTATTGACAATTTTTTAATGTTTATAATTTATAGATATAGTTTATTTTTTATGGTTGAAACAATAGTTTGGTGGTTGATTAATATTTTGTGAAGCCTGTTTGTAATATTAGATTGTCCAAGACAGGTCAAATAGAGCCTACTGAATTAAAAAAAAAAAATGCACATTCTACGGCAAGCAAATTAGGTCATTATATGAAATATTCCACAACATTCCATGTACGCCATGGTATGTTCTACTTATCTAGGATAGGCTGAGCAAGTCATTGTATTATATATTTTACGGCGCACAATCAGCGTTGTTTTTTGTCCCACCAAATAACGGCATGCAAAAGTGATCGTAGAAAAAGTAACAACGACGCACAAAATCGGCTGTTAAATAGTTTTTAACAGCGTACTATAGCATGTTGTAGAAAAAGTAACAACGACGCACAAAATCTGCTCTTTTTCTCAAAACGATTTGCCGGATTTGGACTCTTTGGTTCAGACTTAGAACCGTGACAAATTTGAGAGTCCTGAGCTGTAGTGACCCCCAAAATGAACGGAACGGGAGCTCGTTCCTCCCGGGGCGTTCGGGGACGTCTACAGGCATATTGTAGAAAAAGTAACAACGACGCACAAAATCTGCTCTTAAATAGTTTTTAACGGCGTACTATAGCATGTCGTTGAAAGTGAATGACTTTCCAAGATTGGTCATAATATGACGTGTCACTGCACGTCGTAGAAGTCACGCCGTAAAAACCCTTTGTTATAGTGAGTATAATACAAATGATTGGTAGGCTAGTAGATGCTAACTTAGTTGGGATGTACTTGACATATAGTGATACAATTGCTCTACTATCATCAATAATCTACACTTATTTTATTTAATGATATAAATTTTTGTAATATTTTATTTCATTTTGAAATAAAAATTATTCATTCAATAAATGTTATATAATTAATTTAATATTGTAATATTAAGTTTCATTTTCATATATATAAAATTATTCATTTCGAAAGAAAAAAATTACATAATTGTATATTTTTTTAGTTATAAGTTCACAAATAAAAAAACATAAGTCATATATAATTAAATTTAAATACCACCGTGAAACATAATCAAACAAAACATCTCATTAATCTTTAACTAAAATATTCTAATATAAATTTTCTTTTATTTTTTATCCCTAATAAATAATACTCTAGTATAATTTTTCTTTTATTTTTTATTCCTAATAAATAATCTACATAAATAATATATTTATTGTTCATTTTTTTTAAAAAAAATAAATAAATAACTGGGCCCGAATGATCCGGGCCGGACCAGGCCAAACCATCGTCACATCTGTAAACCTCGCACAAATGAACAGCTCTCCAATCTTTTTGTAATATGGCTAATGTTCATGACAATGAATAATTGCTCTACCATGTCACTTTAAGCCCCGTTTGGTAGAGTGGTGGGAAAGTAATTATAAATTATAACTTAACAAATTATAATTTATAGCTGTGAGTATAAGCTGGTAACCTGTTTGGTGTAACTGTGGGATTATAGATTTAAGTTACAGAATAGTGTTTGGTAAATAAGCTGTAAAATAGCTTTTTCTGTATAATTGACTTTTTTGCCCTTATATGATATAAAAATGATAATTTTGTCATTTTTTTTTCAATTTTAATCTTAAAAATTATTTCATTAATAAAAGTTAATATAATTAGTATTAATTAATATCAACTAATATAAAAAACATTGATACACTTGATAAAAATGTAACAATAGTAATATTGTAATAATTGTTTTCCATTATAAATTAATTAGTATCAATTAATTGCTTAATCAGTATCAATTAATACTAAAATTATTAATTAGTATCAATTAATGGCTTAATTAGTCTGAATTAATACTAAAATTATTAATTAGTATCAATTAATATTAATAATTAATTTTTATTAGCAATTTTTCATCAATTTATCAATTTATATTAATGTATTATTTTTTCCAATTTATTATTATTATTATTCATTTTAATTATTTTTAGTAATATCTCATTTTTTCTTTATATTAATGTATCATTATTAATTTATATTAATGTATCATTATTATTCTTTATATTAATGTATCAATTTTTATTAATTTATCAATTTACATATATTCATCAATTTATATTAACGTATCAATTTTTCCATCAATTAATATAAATTACATATATTCATCAATATTAATTTTTTTCATCAATTATTACATAAATTACATATATTAATATTATCAATTATTATTAATTTTTCCATCAATTACATATATTCATCAATTTATTTGAACTTATCAATTTATTCATCAATATTCTTATTAATAGTATCAATTAATATAAAATTTTTTCATTTTTTCATTTTAAATTAATTAGTCTCAATTAATTAGCATCAATTATTATTTTTTATTCATTAATTATTTTGCTTTTTTTATTAAAAAACACTGAAAAACCTAAAAATAAATAAATAAAGAAAACCCTAACTCCGGCGGGATGAACCGGCGCTAGGGTTTCGTTCAGATCGCGATGGCAAATGGGGCAGATCAACCAGCCCTAGGGCAGATGGTGCAGATCAACCGGCGCAGATAGCAGATCGCGATTGTGCAGATCGCGATCGCAAAAAGGGAGACGGGTTCGCGAATGGGGAGAGATGGTGCAGATCAACCGGCGCTAGAGCAGATGGTGCAGATCAACCGACACAGATGGCAGATCGCGATGGTGTAGATCGCTATCGCGAAGAGGGAGACAGGTTCGCGAAGGGGGAGAGACAGAGAGGGGGGGTGAGAGAGAGAGAGAGAGAGAGAAGGAGCTCGGTCGCCGAAAATACATGCTCGCCGAAAATCGCCTAGCTCGCCGGAAATCGCCTCTCTCGTTTGTGTGAGAGAGGAAGAATGAGTGAGAAATGGTTTACATAGTGGCATTTTCGTTATTACTTAAGTTTTGGAGGGGCATTTAAGTCATTTTGCCCCTCCCCAAACAGCTGAGCGCATAAGTCGTTTTTTTAAGCACCTCGCGAGCAACTTCAACTTTTAAGCCGAATTTGGCTTAAATTAAGCCATAATCTATGTTCATAAGTTGTACCAAACACACCATAACAGCTTAATTTAAGCCAAAAGTTAATTTAAGTTGAAATTAAGTTCTGCCAAACACCCACTAAATAACGCCCATGCCAGTGACTATTGTGAACCAACGGTACTACATTCTCAAAAATAAAAAATAACCCCTAATTAGTAAATGGAAAATGTCTCGTAGCTCAAATTTTGTGGCTCAAAAGTGGCTCAAATGGTCAAAACGACGCCGTTTTGGCCATTTTTATATTGTTCTGTACTCAAAACGACGTCGTTTTGGCCATTTGAGCCAACTTTGAGCTACAAAATTTGAATTACGTAGCATTGTCGTTAGTAAATATTAATGCGTGTTTGAAAGGAAGAAAATTAAGTATACAATTAAACTTTGACATATTGTACAAAGTAACTATCTCGAAACTTGAACCCATAATTTTAAAATTATTAAGTCAATATTTTACCATTAAATCAATAGTCATCCTACTACATTTTCAAAAATAATGTCCAAAAAATCACCTCGAATGAAAATTGTATAAACCAGAGAATATAGTAATAGCTCATAAGTAAACTACACATCACATTTTATTTACACTACACTCTTATTTTTCTGAGTTAATTTTATGGCAAGAATTCCGAGTCTCTGTATCCTTTCTCGTTGTGGGCCTGTGATATTTACTATACGAGGTATCTTTCCTCATTGAACAAACAAACCTTCTTTCGTACTCACCACCATTCGGTCTCTTAGGCCCAAAAAAAAAAAAATTTATTGTCAAAGATTCCGACTTTTCAAAAACATAACTAAACAAAACTTTATTTTAATATTCAACCTAAGGCTTCCAAAAAAACCTTAAATCGTCATTAAAAAACATCCCTTAGCTAGTTTCCGACAGCAATACAAAATCTAAACACAACACAACCCATCATTTTACATATAATAATTAAACAATTATCCAAAGTGAATAAAGATCACTCATTTTTTACTACTGCTTCTCTCTCAATTCAGCTTAATTCTTTAATGGAAGGAACTCGAAGAACTGGTATGGAGTGAAGTCGGGGTTCATGGCAGCGAGAGAAATCTCTGCAGTCTCGTCCTTCTCAGTGATGTTGCTCCGACGGGGAAACAGTTGGAGGGTTTGATCATCCCTGGGAGTGGCAGGTGCTATGAACATTTTGAGGTCCTGATGATTATGATGAGTACTCTTTTTGAGCTTTGCTGGGTCCATAGTAATACTAGTATTAGTATTGGTGTTGTTTATGAGGTGGGTTGGTAGAGGTGAGCAAGATGAAGGCTGCATCATTTTGCTGCCACATTGACATAGGTCAATTCTGCTTCTGCAAAGGTTCCTTCTCTGATGTGATAATTTTCCTCCCTCGTACAACTGTACCCATCTATGATCTGTTATACATTCTTCTACTGCTGTTTTTGCTTGCCCCCCTTGTATTGTTGAAGCATTTTTCTAATAAATATTAGGCATGCAAAAAATTAATTACATAATATGTGTTTGACTGTCTATATCACTCAAAAGCATATATATGTCAGTTTTTGTGAGTTTTTCTGTATATTTATCTATGGCTGGTATATAGAGATAGTTATATAAATTTGGTTACATGGGATAATTTGAGAATAGAAAAAATTATAACATAAATATCAAGTCAAGCCTCTTTGAATAATAGAATATATAAATAACACTTATTTGGATACACCTTATTTTTGTTTTACAAAAAATATTATACACAAAAAAGTATTAACACAAAAACAAACAGTGTGATGGAGATTTATCATGAATACGGTACGAGTAATTGAATAATGCTAATAATAAAATTTGACCACACTATGTCCGCCTAACATTTTGTTTCCCATATCAAGAATGGACCCACGAGAAACCAAATTCTACTGGGTCAGTTTTGTCTTTTCAGAAAGGAATATTAGGGGTGCCCCATGCCCAAATAATTGGTCCTAAAATAAGAGAACCAGACAAAAAAGAAATTAAGTAGGTGTTTGGGAAGTTGTTATTTGAATAAGTTATTTTAGTTTTTAATTATTTCAGTAAATTAAAATTTTCGTGTTTGGGAAGATAATTTAATTTTTTTTGTAGTGAGATGTGATATTTGTGAAAGAAAAAATAATTATAAATTTGATATGACATTTTGTCTTATTAATTATTTTAGTCTATTTTATCTTTTTATAAATTTTAGCCAAAAAAAGGCTAAAATCCAACTTGCCAAACACCCCCTAATGCCGTGTTTGAATTGAACCCTTTTCATTTCACAACAAACAAAGATTTTATTGCTTCCTCTAGATACCTATCTTCCTTTTAGTCATGCATGTATATAATTATGAATAAATCTGCAACACAGAGATCAATTTTGTAGAATTTGATACAAAATGCATATGAATGAATAAGATTTTTCATAAATAGAGTCTCATAAAAACTCACTCATTCACATGTATTTTGTATCTAATTTTATGATTAAATTTATATACTTGCATGAACTAATAACCATATGGGTATTATTACATCATTAGTTGATTGTAATAGTCCTCAAAAGTTAGTGGCATGACAAGTTAAGTTTTGAAGTAATACGATAATGATGATCTATTTTTATCATTATCTTAGAAATATATATTAGTGGTGAAATCTATTATATTAATATTGTGTTGACAAAGAAAATGATAAGAATAACTTGATATAAAATTGTGGTAAGTCTAGTATTATACGAGTTTTTAATTAAAGACGAATTACAAACAGTTCCTATAGTTTGAGACTCATGTCACTTTAGTCCCTGACTTTTATATTGTGACACATTTGATCTTGAATTTTGAATCTTGTTTCAAATAAGGATAATTGAAGATATCATTACTTAATTTCAAGGGTAAAATCATCAATTTGATAAAATATAAATTTATTTGACAAAAATAAATGTCAAAAAATATTTTTAAATTTTTAAAAATTATTTCTACCCACCAAAGATAAAATTATGTAAAATTGATAAATCTTTTAAACATTTTTATTTATTTTTTTATTTTTTACCAAATTAAATTTTATTATGTATTTGAATGCTGATCATGTAATAAGTAGTTGTTAAGATTTTAATGTGTAATCGATATATTTAATATATGAAATGTTTTTAGTTTTAAATTTTTTTGATTTAGTGGATTTGTTTAATAATGATATCAAAGTTGTCTCCATATTTGACTTTTGAAAAAATAGAAACTAATTTAATGATAATAAAAACAACCACCCATTACATGATCATCATCCAAACACATAATAAAAATTAATTTGGTAAAATAAATAAATAAATAAATGTCTAAAAGATTTATCAATTTTACATAATTTTATCTTTAGTGTGTATAAACAATTTTTAAAAATTCAAAAATTTGTTTTTGACATTTATTTTTATCAAATTAGTTTATATTTTTATTAAATTGACGATTTTGCCCATGAAATTAAGTAATGGTATCTTCAATTGTTCTTATTTGGAACAAGATTCAAAATTCAGAATCAAATGTGTCATAATTAAAAAGTTAAGAATTAGAGTGATACAAATCCTAAACTATTGGGATCGTTAGTGTAATTTAGCCTTTAATTAAAGGACTGTGTTAATTAGTGTATATATGAAGAAAGACAAAAGAGAGGAAAGTAGACCTCTGCAAATGTACTGCAGTTTATAGGGAATGCCCAGTTCTTGATCTGTTCAAAACCTGTCCTCCTACTTGCTTCTGTAGACAACCAGAAAAGTAATATTTGCATCTCAAATAAAAAACCGAATCAAAAAATAATTAAATCACATATCAGAAATCAAATATCAGTACTACTTTACATCTCTAACAATAATGAAATACAAGTCCATCATCATAAGACACTAGTAATGAATCATTCCCCATATGGTAACAGTATTTTTAATTATGGTAAAATTAGATAATTATTATTATACAGACAACAAATTATGCATTTGTTACCTGATTCTTCCTTTTCTGTGGCTTCGATATCGCAGTATTCTTGATGAGAGGCTGATTCAACTTGACGGCGGCGTTTGTGATAACGATCTCTAGCCTTGTGATTTTGGAACCAATAGAAAACATTCTTGCCTTCAATCTTGCCATATTGGCGAAGCTGTGCGGTAATATGATGAATTTGATCAGCAGAAGGTGTTCGAATCCCACGCCGATACAATTCTTCCAGTGCCTCCAACTGTTCTGGTGTTGGGTTCCATCTTGAGCTTACTACACTGACTTCTTGTCTATTCAACCACTTCCACTCTCTCTTGCTTTGTTCAACTTCTTCACCCACATTTACTTAAAATAAATTACACAAATTCTCATCAAACACTACAATACCCATTTGTTGTTGTGCAATTGTAGTTATAATCATTCAATAGGACAGTAAATAATAGAATAGGCACACAAGATATACGTGGTTTGATGGTTTATATCTACTTTCATGGCAGAGAGGGAGACCAAATCAATAAACTCAATAAGAATTACAAGAAGACTTTCAACTTCTCAACGCAGCTCTCTTTTCTGTAACACTCCCAAAGAAATCCTATCAGAATTTACAATATATATATAACCTAGTCTCGGCGCCTAGGCCTAACAGTTTTGGCACTCTGACTCCATAAAAGCCATTACAGTAACATTAATACAAGACACCACCCTATATTTAACACTTGTGAAGAGAGAGAGAGAGAGAGATGAACAAATGGTGGTTTAATTCAAGAAGATGAGTATCATGAATAGGGCTTGAACATGGACTTGGAATAGAAGGTGTAGTTGGTAGAAATAGAAGTAGAAGTACCTGGGCATGGACAAGGCCATGGAATCAAAGGCCGGTGGTTCCCGCCATTGAATGAAACTGGTTCCGGGATGCTAATTAGTTCCCTATTATTCTTATTCTTATTGTATCCAATCATCCACATTGTGCTTGTATGTAGTTAGTTGAATGTTGAAAGCTGCAAACATGTATAGCTTATATAAGTGGATAATTATATAGCAGTAGTTCCGAGTATCATATATTATGTGATGCTGTAACAGCCTAGTAGAAAAACTTTATAAGGGACATAATGTTGATTAGTTAGTTGACTGACAATGAATTAACGGATTATTATTCACCCACTAATGTATTTTTTTTCAATTCTTTATTTAAGAGAGTAAGATGTAGAAATGTCACGTAATATTTCATGACTATTTAATAATTTTCTCGTTGCATACCGAATAGTATTTTTATTTTATTAGTAGTGCATTTATTTGAATAACATAGTGCATTTTGTTTATTGTGGATTCATATTGTGTCTATTTCGATAATTTAAATTATTTATTTTGCAAAATACATTAAAAAAATTATCTACAGAAAGAAAATTAATTTGATCATAATTTAATCAAATATTAATAATTACAAGATTGAATTATAAAATAATATTAAAAAAATGCAAAGAACAAACAAAAGGAGGGGGCAAGCGTGAAATGGAGAGGGGGTGTCATTGGGAGGAGCGAATGTAAAACGACGTGACGATGATACACACGATTCGTGAAGAGGACTACAATACTTGCTACTATTATCATATAAGACCCGAAGAGAAGAGAAGAGAGAGAGCTTCTAACAATAATAACACCACCCTCTCTCTCTCTCTCTCGTGTCTCTCTCGTGCCTTTCACTCTTATATATTCTCAATCCCAACTGTCCCACTCTCTCTCTTTCTCTCTCCATTTTCTTTCTTTGTCTTCTACTCCAGCTACCAGCTAAGTTGATTTTGTTTCATAGATACAGTATGTGTTAATTATTGTCCTCTACCTTTCACAGATAAAACCTTTACAATGTCATTCACATCCCATTTTTACCCTTCTTGTCCACACAAATAATTTTGTTGTATATAGGGCATATTTTTATTTTTATGTTATAACGTGCCTGTTTGTGGGGGCCTCATTTAAAATCAAAACAAATACTCTGCATATTTGAATCTTGGAGGGAGAGTAGTCCAGGCTCCAAATTGTGCTCTCCAGACCAACCCTTTGAAATTGCATATTGGATACATAATATATTTGGTTATTCAATGCACTTTATTCTATGCTAAAAATTAAAATTAAAATATTAAAATCAAAAAGCATTTGTCTCCCACTTTTTAAATAATTAATTTTTTTGAAAAAAAAAAATTTGTTGTCTAATAAACTACAAACAAAAGTTAAACCAAACAATATAACTCATTTACTTTCAAAATAAAATAAGATATATATAAGGAAAATTCTATGGTTGGAGTGTACACCATATGTATCCCTAATTATGACTTTTGTGGTCTTTGGTTATGACATATTGTTGCGTTGATTATGACTTATTGTAATATTGATTATAATATTATTTTAATTATGATCTTGATTATACTTTAAATAGTGTTTTGTTTTAATTTTTTTTTAGTTATGATCACAAATGTCATAACTTACCTAAATACATACCTTTTTAAAAATATGTACCATAACATTACCTTATAAATTATTCAAATAAACTGCACTAATATGATTGTCTTGTGAAGGTGTGTGCCGTCACAATTACTCTGAATTTTTAGGTGTAAAAGGTCTGGGGAATCTTCCCTGACCTCCTTGATTTCACCCTTGACGTTTCCTCTGTCCATATTTCTCTATTATATGTACTAGTAATTCCATTCCAGTGCATGCATTGCTTGGGGATTATCGTATGTATGGTCTGCACTTCCTTCCAAAATCTCTAACCCCCTCCGCTGCCTCATCATTGTTGAATCATTCTAACTTTTCACTCACACACGGTTACATAAGTTTATTTAAAGAATATTTAGATTTTAATTCTTACCTCATGAAATTCATATTTTGAATGATTCTTGATCACACACTATTTTTTTAATAAAATTTTAAATATTTTTTTATTTATTTATGATTTGTAACGCCAATATGATAGTATTATACAATACAAGCTATCAAATCTTACAGATCTTGTATTTTACAAGTTCACCTAATTCTTGGTTTATTAACATTTATGCATTTTTTTTAATAAGAAAATCCTAATGGTTTCTAAATGGGTGTTTATTAGTTTCGATTGTATGTAAAAAAAAATAAAATAAGAATAATAAATTATATATGAAAAATGCATTGAAATAGCCTTTGATAGAGTCGCGTGGAGAAGAAGGATTTATGTAGCCGATTCCATTTGATGGGACTTAAGCCTTGGCTTGGTTTAGTTTGGTTATGTTATATGAAAAATGTTAGAATGGTTTTGAAAATTCTGGAAAAAACAGAATTTTTATTAAACTTTGGTCTAATATTTAGATGGGACCCATGCGTCGATTTTTGCTGGTCGAAGTAGTAACATGTTTTATGCCGCGTTGTGATTCACGTGGTATATTTGGTTGTTCAAAATCATTATCGGATAAATGGGAATTTGAAGCCAAAGGAAGCTCCATGAAAATGGGGTTTTGGTAGAAATTCCTTAAGTTTTGAAAAATGACTTGTCCCACATTGATTTGGTGGAAAGTTTCGAATGGGTTTATAAGGCATGGGATTGGAACTTGGGGTGTGCCCCAAGGGATACCCAAGTTTTGTAGAGATGGAGGTTATGGACTAGACCCATTGAACCCAAAAATTGTTAGAAACGGTTTGTTGGCCATTGAAGCCAAAGTTGTGCTCCATAGAAATGGAGTTTTGGTGAAAAATCCTTAAAGGTTTGAAAAATAGCTTGTCCCACATTGATTTCGTGGGAAGTTTTGAATAGATTTATAAGGCATAGGATTGAAACTTGGGGTGTGCCCCAAAGGGTACCCAAGTTTTGTAGAGAGGGAAGTTATGGGCAAAATGGGCTAGACCCATTGGACCCAAAAATAACCACGCGCACGGCCATCCGTCTGGGCGTGGGTGCATGGTGTGATGTTGGGTTGGGCTTGTCCAGTCCAATACTAATCTTTTTGGGCCAAAAATATTTGAATTCAATTTTATTTTTTGGTAAAATAAAATTTGTCTAATTTAAATTCCAATATTTTGAATTCAAAATTGGGTCTGTTTTTCTCCCACCCGAATAGAATTGAATCTGTTTAAAATTCAGAAAACCCGAACAGATTTAAATTTATGCAAAATAGTTTTATCTGTTTGAATTTTGAACCCAACAGATTTAAATCTGTTCATTCAAAACCAAACAGGTTTGATATCTGTTCAAAACAAGTTTGCACCTGTTTAATTCAAAACCAACAGCCACCAATCCATCTATAAATAAGCAGCCCTCATTTGATGTTTCATTCAATAATTTCGTCCTAAATATTGTCTGCCTTCTCTGCATTTTTGCTACATTATTTTCCTTTTAAGAAAAAGTATAAACACTTAGTGTATTCGTTGTTCGAATAAATTGTAGTGCTGCATTTATTCGTTGATAGATCATTTTATTTTGGGAGATAGACGTCCGTATTCTGAAAGTACCGTGGAGAGGACGAATCTGTCTTAAGGATACAGTGTCGAACACCAGACTTGATCAAAATATTATTCCAGAAATTAATCACGTAAGTTGTCTATTTATTTTCTGATTTTATTTATATATTTAAATCAGATTTTGGTAACAAAATAAAAATCTGTTTTATTTATTTTATTTTACTGGTTTGATTTTTGTAATCAAACAAATTCTCTCATTTCCTTTATTTCTTCTGTATTTTGTTTGTTGTTAAGTATACAACAGAATTTATATTTCCAAATACAGTGAAGATTGTCCTACAATTTTAAAAAAGAATAATTTTTTGTCTTTATTGTATTTAATTTTCTGTATTTTCACAAAGTGATATTCTGGTTAGAAAATACAAATAGTAATTATAAGCTATTTGACATATAGTAGTAATATACTGTCTATTTTCTTTGACAACTAGTAGTAATATACTGATATCATTAACAATTGCAGAATATTATTTGGTGTTACAGGAAATTATTGTGGTATTTTATTTTTCTAGTTTTAATAACAAGGAAAATAAAATTAATTTGTGTTTTGATTTTTTTTTATTTTTGTAATCAGATATTATGGCTGCTGCAACTGGAAGTGGTACTCCAATTGTTGTACCAACACCGGTCCCTATCCAGAACCATGTTCAAGTACCAATAAATCATGGAGAAAAATCGAAAAAATTTAACAGTATTGAGTTTAAAAGATGGCAGCAGAAGATGTTGTTTTATCTTACAACTCTAAATTTGGCCCAGTTTCTCCGTGAAAAGGCTCCAGCACTTAAATAGGATGAAAGTGATCGGCAAGTTGTTGCCGCTGTAGATGCTTGAAAACATTCAGATTTCCTATGCATAAACTACATCCTCAATGGTCTTGACAACATGATGTATAATGTTTACAGCCCTCTGAAGTCAGTAAAAGAATTGTGGGATTCTTTGGAGAAGAAATACAAGATAGACGATGCCGGCACAAAGAAATTTGTTGTCAGTAAATTTTTAGATTTTGTTATGGTAGACTCTCAAACGGTAATTTCTCAAGTTCAAAATTTTCAAATAATTTTGTATGATATTCATTCAAAAGGTATGTCTCTTAGCGAGTTTTTCCAAGTCACTGCTCTAGTGGAAAAGTTACCACCGATTTGGAAAAATTTCAAAAATTATTTAAAACATAAACACAAGGAGATGACCATGGATGAATTGATTGTAAGATTGAGAATTAAGGAAGATAACCGAAAGGCTGAAAAGAGGAATAGGAAAATTCCCATTAAGTCCAAGGGTAATGTGGTTGAACAAGTTTACAAACCACATAACAAAAAGAGGAATTTACTGGAGATGATCCTAAACAAGGTGACAGTAATGGCAACAAGAAGTTCAACGAAAAATGCTATAACTGTGGCAAGACTAGACATCGAGCTTCTGATTGCCGCCGCCCTAAGAAGGATCGTGGAAGTACAAGCAAGAAGACCACCAATCAAGCCAATGTGACAAAATTAGATTACATCTCTGACGAGGTAAATGACATCAATCTCTCTGCTGTGGTGTTTGAGGCTAATTTGGTTGGAAATCCCAAGGAATGATGGGTTGACACTGGGGCAACTCATCATATTTGTACGGACAAAAAGATGTTCACTACCTACAATGAGACTGCAAATGGTAAACAATTTTTCATGGGAAATTCTTATACTTCTACTGTGGCTGGATAAGGAAAGGTGATCTTGAAGATGACATCAGGGAAGGAACTGACCCTTAACAACGTACTGCATGTACCTGATATCAGGAAGAATTTGGTTTCTGGCTCTTTGTTAAGTAAAAATGGTTTTAGCCTTGTATTTGAGTCTGATAAATATGTATTATCAAATAGTGGTATATATGTTGGCAAGGGATACATGAGTGATGCTCTCTTTAAATTCAATGTAATGACAGTTGTACCAAAAGTTGCTATGAATAAAAATAAC